ATCACTAAAGGAAAGTTCTGGAGCATTGTCTGATCGAACAAATTTTATTGGAGTTGCAAATTGAGTTTGAATAAGGGCAAAAAATTCCGGGAAAATTTTGAGCACATCAGATTTGGCACGTAACAAATACACCCAAGTAAAACGGCTAAAATCATCTACAATCATAAAAAAATTGTGAAAGCCTTCATGAGTCATGGGAGTGAAAGGACCATATGTCACAATGGACTAGATCGAAGGCAGATTTAGACAAGGAATTATGAGAAATAAATGGCAATCTCTTTTGTTTCGCAAAATGACAAATAGAACAATGAGAAGGATTATCTGAAACATGTTTAATTTGTATTTCATTTCTCAAGGTGCCAAGTTTAACATAAGATGGGTGGCCCAAACGAAAATGCCACAGTTCATTTTCTAAAAAAACTCCATTAAACTCCATTATTACATTTTGCTGTAACTTTGGGAAAAACAGGGAACAAAAATCTTGAATCCAAGACGTATAGATTTCCTTCGCGTCTACCCGTCCCAATCACTTGGCCCTGTGAAAGGTCTTGAATAACACACGATTCATACAGGAAATTAACAGCAAAACGACGACTCTGAGTGAGAGAACTTATAGAGAGAAGGTTAAAACAAAACTGTGGCACAAATAAGACATCATGAAGAAGAAGATTATTAGACAACTGTACTGAAGCTATACGCTCAACAGGCACGGAATGACCATTTGGAAGAGTAACAAACGAATTACTGGTGGCAGAAGAGGAAAGGAAACAGGATAAAGATCGACAAACATGGTGCGTTGCGCTAGTGTCCAAAATCCAAGTAGTGCAAGGAATGGAAGAATTATTTGAGACAGAGGAAGGAGGAAAATACCACTGAAATCGGAAACAGAGGGTGCAAGTTGTTGTGGTTTCGAGAGGTTGCAGCTGCTATGCTGGAGTTGCGAACTCAGAACAACAATGAGCTGTTGGCACTGTACGGCGGTGCTTGCAGACACTGGCTGATGCGCTATAGCTTGGTTCACCTGAGCCTTCGGCGGAGATGGTCTCGGCTTGACTTTGTACCCGGGGGGAAAACCATGAAGCTTGTAACACTTGTCAATGGTGTGTCCGTGCAATCCACAATGTGTACACACAGGGCGTTCCCGTTTAGGTTTGAAATGAGAACTAGTGGTGGACAAGTTCGCAGACGGTTGAGTCATATCCAATTTGGGTGAAAACTCTGAGGAAGAGGAAGGAAAACTGTGATTAATTGCCCGCTGACGTTCTTCCTAAACGACAAGGGAGAATACCTTGGCTAATGGAGGCAGAGTGTCCATCAGCAAGATTTGGCCCCTTGTATGCGAATAGGACTCATTTAATCCTATCAGAAACTGCATAACAAACTCTTGTTGCTGATAATCCATCCAAGGTTTCATGCCCCCACAATGACAAATAGGAATCGGCTGGAAATCCTTAAGCTCATCCCACAGTTTTGAGACAAGTATAGTAAGTACTTACGTCTAAGGATCCTTGATGCAGAGCAACCATGTGGCTCTTGATTTGGAAAATCCTTGGGCCATTGCTTTGATGGAACCGATCACACAGATCTGTCCAGATCTCAAGAGCTAAGTCAATGTATAAGAGACTATCAGCAATGTCTCGAGTGATGACGTTGAGAATCCATGAAATAACCATGGAATTGCAGCGAATCTAGGCACTGTAAAGTAAATCTTCGGGGTCGGGACGAAGGACGCTCCCATTGACGAACCCAACTTTGTTTTTGGCTGTGAGAGCCATCACCATAGCTCGACTCCACGTGTTGCAATTAGGGCCAACGAGCTAGTGTGAGACCAGAGATAGTCCCGGATGGTCACCATGGTGGCGAAAGTATGGGCTTGTGGAATCTTCCATCGCCGGCGAAAGAGAAGTACCAACAACCACACGGTTTTGGGTTCCTGCACCTCGAGCCATCAGAGGGAGATGGGCAATGAAGAGAGCACAACAGAGAAAAATTGCTTTGATACCATATTACAAAGGTAAAGCTTTGAGAAAAGGAGCAGAAAATCTCATTCTGGAAGAAGAGGCCAATAGCCAAAAGATATACATCAACGCTGGGGCTGAGTTTGTTGTAACCAACCTCCAGCTCAGCAAATAAGGAAAAGACAACAACAAAAGCTTATAGTTATTTACAAGTTTTTCTTTTTTTTTTTTTAATCGTTTTTCTCTTTTGAAGATTCTTTTCATGTGTTGAATGAAAAAGAATAAAAACTGATGCCATCCAAAAAAAATGCTCGAAGAAATCTTCAGCAAGGTCCCTTTTTTTCCTTGTTGAAACGCTTAGAAAGGGTCTTGAGCAAACCAAGAAAACATATATGCACTGAAATTAAATCCGCCAATGGTTGGTGAAGGAATCAGATTGGAGCAACATGGGATATCCGTATTCCAAGTGATGCAAAGTCATATCTTCTCCTCTCTGCTTAATTTATCAGTCTCGGCCGCTGAAAATGACGTCAAGCTTGTTGCCATTGAGAACGACGCGGCATTGTAATGGCCCTTCCCAACCAGATCCCCAGTGGCACAGCGACCCCCTTCGGTCAGATGAGGCCGTCGCAACAGCCCGCTTCACCGGATCGCAACTACCTCCTCCCAACCGTCGCAACAGCCCGCTTCACCGCCAGATCTTCGACATCATAACTCCTTTCCCCTTCCCCAGCAGCATAGCGAGCCCCTCTCCCCCAAACACATTACTCTGTACAACAGTCAACAAAATGGAAGGATGAATGAAGACGATAATATGTCTAGATTCATTCCTTTCCATTGTGCTTTCTTGTTTTTTACCCTTTGGTTAAAATGACAACTAATACCCCTAAAAGGGTGTTCATGTGCTAATCACATTTCAACAACTATTAATTACTTAACATAAGTTATTAAAAGGATCATTATACAACAGATTTCAAAGGTCGAGGAGTCAAATTGCCAAGAAAATTAGTTTACGGACTGATTTGCCAATTTAGTAAGAAAAGCATGACATGTCACAAATAAAAAAAAGGGCTGAATTAAGGCATTATATAATTCATACATCACAAAGACGATGTTAGTTGGCGGTAGTATCAGTTCATTGTTCCATTACGTCAATGCAATGAACAGTAATAGGGGGAAACTTTTTTGATAATAAACAAAGAACCTAATTATCTTGTTTCATTCATTACAATAGGCAATTAACAATGACTCCCCCTCTGTTTTACCAAAATAGCATAAACCCCTTCACCGAAACTAATCACGTCAACACCCCTTCTACTAAATTCTATTAAATTTAGATGAGAAATGTTAAAAATAACCCTCTCTATACCAGCCACTAATTGACAACTACCAAATCAGAGCCATCCATTTATTTCTTCATTTGAGAAAAAAGATAACTCTATAAAATATTAGAACACCCACCAACGCGACCCACCTCACTCGCGTGACCCCACCCTTCCCAGTGCAAACCTAGCCCCACCGTGACGCCGGCAACTCTCGCAAACCCAGCTTCTGGCGATACCCACCCACGCCGACGACAAATTGCGCGACCCACCCGCGCCAATGCCAACCCACGGCAACCCCACCTAACCTCAATGCGACGCCGTCTCCATAGCCGCCCCCCGACGCCCAACTTCTGAAGCCAACGCTGAAGAACGAGTAGAAGAAGATGGCAAAGGAAGAGGCGCACCACCAAAACCCCAAAGCATCTCCATCCTCAACAAAATGCTCTGTCTATTTTTGTTTTCTATTTGTTTCCTTTCAATTTTTGAGCTCCTAATGCGAATTTTTCCTAAGGAAATGGTGTTCCTTCAATTGCTTCATTGTTCCAACTATTTTAAAGTCTTAATAAGGGGGTTCTTATTTTTGTTAAAAGTAATTGGTTTTGAATGCACGTGAAGGTGCTTCTGAATCAATAATGGGAGTATCACGAAAGATGAAAACCATAAGAAGCATGCAGTTGAGGAGAAATGGATTTTTTTTTCCTTTTGAATAGCGTTTCTAAATTAAACGAGTTTACAAGTACACTGTAGGTGTTGAATAATCCTAAATTTGGACTGAGGGAGGAACGAAATGAAATCTTGTCCGCAGGTGGTTGAAGATAGAAAATGAGTTTTGTTTTTTGTTTTTTATTTCCTGTCTTATATATTTTCTTTATTTTCTTTTTCTTTTTTGGAAGGATATTTTGATCATCTTAAGATAAAAAATAAGTATTGATCAAAGCAAAGTATTAATTGGATGGTGAACATTTAATGAGATTAAAAATCAATGGTAAAAAAAAAAGATAAATAATTTGACCCCAAAATATTTTTTTCTTAATTAAAAAGTATACTATTAGAGTGAAAATTTAATGTTAAAGCATGTAAAAAATCAAACTCATTTTTTGGTGTGCAATAAGGGTAAAAAATCAACATTTCAACATTATATGTAGCTTAGAAATGGTTTTCTGATACATGGAGGGATATTTTTGAGAAATTCAAAAAATTTATCGGTCAGCATTGACGGTTAACTCACAGTCAACTAACAAAGGGAGTGTCTGTGATTTTTTCAAAAAGTCAGGGGCGTGGGGCGTTGACGTGATTAGTTTCAATCAAGGGGGTCTCTCTGTCTGTCATTTTGGTAAAGGGTGTCAATGTTAATTGCCCCATTACAATTTAGTAAGAAAAACATGACGTTTCACAAATAAAGAAACGGGAAGAATTTAAGGCATTAAATAAATTCACATATCATAAAGATGTTAGTTGGTGGTAGTTACAATTCATCGTTCCATTATGTTACGTCAATGCGATGAAAAACGAATGGGGAAACTTTTTCTTGATAATAAACAAATAACCTAATTATCTTGTTTTATTCTAATAGTTGTGATTTTCAGCAAGATTAATCACATGTGAGTGTGACTTCCATATAAAAGGTTGAGATAAAAGTAAGTCTTCGAAACATATCAATGAAACGCACAACATCATTCTGTAAAATGAGGGACATTAATCAGAGAAAGCGATTTACCCTTAGTTTCCAACCTATTTTTTTGTAGTCGCTCTTTTCAAGACCTTCACAATCAATCCGGACCAGATCACAGAAGAGAAAAGCATCTCTGACCATCATTACCAGGTTACCATAATAACCATTCCTAGCTGCAATCCGACGGGTGGATGAATACAGTGATCACAAAAAGGCATAAATTAACTAATTAAAACCACACAAGGGAAAGAAATGTACCAAGTTTTGTCAAAGCAGGAACAGCTAATCCCCTCTTTCTCATTTCCTTTGTTTCCTCGATGCTTAACCCATCAATTGTAGTTTTGATCAGCTTGGGATATATGGGCTCGTGTGGTCTCCACAACATTAACGGAATCACCGGCCTTTTCTTGCGGTTATAGTTCCTGCCCCTGTATAATATTAGTAGACCACCATGTCTGTAAATAATTTTTCCAAATGTTTTGTCCTGCAACAAAAACATGAAATTAGCTTCTAATTCTCCTCCAAGAGACGACTAAGAATGCAAGGACCCACCATGTACACTTTCAAATTTTTAATTCAGAAAAATAGTATATGCGGGCAGTTGCTGGTATGTTGCTGTGTATTGGAGGAACTAATGCCTTAAAAGAAACTGCGGTGGAACAGAGGCAATTGGAAGAGAGGCTGATTCTCTATTAGAAATATCCCAATCACCTATCCTCTCTGTAAAATCAGTGAAAAGCTTTTATTGACAAACTTGGACTTTAGCTGACGGCAAAATAAGAGGTACACTAGCACAATACACAGATAAAAATGATGCATCGTACTGTATAAGACTTGATAAGAGAAAAAAAAAAATATATATATATATATATGTATATGGGTGTAGTTTTAATGGTTACTCTAATATTTACCTATCATTGGGTATCATTGTTTTAGCCATAAGATATTAATTCGCCGGTCTATATAGTTGACTTGGAGAAAAGTATAATTTTGGGCATAAAATTTAGAGGAAAATAGGCCATCTACATTAGCAGGAGTTATTGGTTGTTCTATTGGGTCGTGCCCAGTCAAGTATTTGGGATTTACCTTTAGGAAGAAATCCCCTGCAAGCTGTATTTTGGGGTCCTGTGATTACTAGGGTGTCGAAAAGATTGGCTAGGTGGAAGAAAGCTTTCTTATCAAAAGGAGGAAGATTAACTCTCATTCAGTCAGTTTTAGCATCTTTATCCATATACTTTTTATCAGTATTTAAAATTCCCGTTGTAGTGGCAGACTGTTAGGAACCTGATTTTCACAGCTCAATATTCACACAGAAGAACAAGAATAGAAGGCAATCAGAGTATTTATTAATCATCACCAACACTAACTCATAAAATTTTACAACCAAACTAAGAAAAACGTAAAGAAAGCTTAGGATAGACTGGAGAATTCGAGGACTCCAAAGAACTCCTAACTTTGATGGTATTTGAGAGACCACCAGCTCTCCCTAATCCTAGTCTCCCAAAACTACAGCCTCCCCTAGTGAGTTACTAAGCCCTTTATTTATACTAATTCCTACTGACTCTACCAGCCAAGGTTTTAAAAGGCGGAATTGGGCCTCGAGGCGTTTTGCCTATACGAGGCGAGGCGTAAGCCTCAAAAACTGCCTATAAAAAAATTTAGAAAAAAAAAAATAGTAACAAAAACTAGATCCATACTTAATAATCATTAAAATCAAGAAATTTAGCCAAATATCCACATAAAGACTAAATAATTATCAAATCCTAATATCATAAGGATCATAATGCACTTCTAAAAGCCTAATCTCCCAAGTCATCAATCAATAATCATCATCACTACTAAGAGAAGCATCAGCCAATTTAAATCTCTCATTGTCCACGAATTCTTGACTGTTAGTGTCAGAATCACAGTCTATCCACTCTTCTTCTTCTTCATCCTCTTGCACGATCTCCTTGCCTCTATCACCTAATAATAAAAATTAAACTTAAGTTACTATCTCTTATATGATAATTAGAGTAAATAATAGAGAAGACAACTAATAATTCATTCGGCATATCTTGCCACTAACCTGTCCTCTTCTTTTTAGAGCTTTTTGAGCTCTAGTAGTATTGTTAGTACCTTCTCCACCCTCCGTCGTCGCTCGCCGGCACAGTTCGTACGATCGGCAGCTCTGGTTCTCGAAACCCCATGATTCCAGACTCTTCTCACCTTTTTTTTTTTGCAATTTTTTTTCCACAGTTTTTTTTTCCCGAGAATCGATTGCTCTGATACCAAATTGTTAGGAACCTGATTCTCACAGCTCAATATTCACACAGAAGAACAAGAATAGAAAGCAATCAAAGTAGTTTTTTTAATCATCACCAACATTAACTCATAGAATTTTACAACCAAACTAAGAAAAACGTAAAGAAAGCTTAGGATAGACTGGAGTATTCGAGGACTCCGGAGAACTCCTAACTTTGATGGTATTCGGGAGACCACCAGTTCTCCCTAATCCCAATCTCCCAAAACTCTGAAAATCACAGCCTCCCCTAGTGAGCTACTAAGCCCTTTATTTATACTAATTTCTACTAACTCTACCAACCCACTAACCAAACAAGTTCCCAAGTCATTGCGATTGAGAAGCTAATGAGAGATTTTTTATGAGAGATTCTAAGATTATAACTCGTCTCACTTGGTGGCTTGGGAGCAGGTGCGTAAACCAAAAGACTTAGGAGGTTTGGGAATCGGAAACATCAAGAAGAAAAATTTATCTCTGCAGACAATTCCTTAAGTGCCAACTCGTGAAATTTTGGGTTTCATAAGGAGACTAACGGACAGAGAATTGAGGGAGGTGTCAAAATTTACAAGCATCATGGAGAGGGTTAGAATTCATAGCGCAATTCAAGACAACAGGGTGTGGAAGCCGGACACTAACAGAATATTCTCAATCAAATCACTTTTCAATTCATTGACATGTGATCCTTCATTTCTGCGATTCCCTTTCTTCGAAAATATATGGAAATCTCGGGCTCCCAGCAAAGTTAAAGTCTTATGTTGGTTGATTGCCCTTAACAAAGTGAATTCTCATGAGTCGTTGCAACGTCGAAGCCCATTTATTTCGATATCCCCGAGGTGGTGTTAGAGATGGTGTTACTTGTGTAGGAATGATTGGGAGACGACTGATCACTTGTTTCTTCACTGTACTTATTCCAAAAAGATTTAGTCTATCTTACTTAGGGAGTTTGGTTTCCCTTGGGCGACTCCAGAAAGATGTTCTGAAGTGATGATCTTTTCCCCTCCTTCTGGATAGAGTCAACGGGGGTTGATAATGTGGAGGGCTGCGGTTTTAGCTATTTTTTGGGGTTTGTAGTTGGAGATGAACAATAGAATTTTTGAGAACCAAAAGGAAGACGAAGAGGTTCTTTGGGATAAAATAAAGTGCTGGGTGACGTTATGGGTATATAGAAATAAAGAATTCAGGAACCAATCTTTTCGGAGTTCCTTAGGAACAAGGGTCACTTTTTATAGATTTGTCCTGAGTGTTTTGTTTTTGGTTTACTTATATGTTGAAAATGTGGGAGCTTGGTTCAGTTGAAGATAACTCTTTCTCTTCTCTCCTAGTTCTCTTTTGTTAATTTGTTAATTTTTTTAAAGTCTCGTTTCTTTTAAAAAAAAAAAATATAGTTGACCAAAAAAATTTATGACAATTAATAGAATTAGATTCTTATCACGCCATGTCATCATATTTCTATATTTGGTGGTAACTATCGATGGAAACGTAACCATTAAAAACTCGTTCATATATACACACATATATATGACTTTAGGGAAGTCACTAATTGAAAGTGTTTTAAGCTGCAGGTGGAATGGTGAGCAAAACAAAACCAAGATACCTCAATCTGGGTGCACACGTTTTTCATGTCAACAGTTGGAACACCTAGACATTTTATCCTCACTGCTTCAGCACGTTTCCAATGATTTTGAATTTCATCCAGCATATTATGAGTTAAACCATCTCTCCCTACAACAAAGAGAGCCAAACAACAAAAGAAGAGAAATGAGACCAAAATACAGAATTTTATTGTTTTTTTTTTTTTTGTTACAATACCCCTGTTTGTTTTAACAACTCAAACTGTTGTTTAGAATTCAAACATTAGTGTAGGTTTTTAGGGCAGAAAGAAAGTAAAATTCATTGATTAATTCTTGTACAAGGATTACAGTATTTATAGGAAAACTACCCTACGGAAAAAGGAAACTAAATCCCTAGAATGAGTGAGATCCTTATCTTAAGGAATCTCTTTAAAAATTGAAAAGATAAAACTACTTTCCTAATTTATCTCTAAGCGCCCTTTGACCGGATTGGTACACATCCGGTCCATAACTTCAACCTACTTTCCTGATTTCTACACTCCCCTTCAAATTGGTGCATAGATATATATCATGCCCAACTTGCTAATGAGAAACTCGAAGTTTGGTCTAAATAATCCTTTAGTAAGAATATCAACCACTTGTTGTGAGGTTGGAACAAATGGCATACAAATGGCTCCAGCTTCAATCTTTTCTTTTATAAAATGCCGGTCGATCTCAACATGTTTTGTTCTATCATGTTGGACTGGATTGTGGGCGATGTTGATCGCTGCTTTGTTGTCGCAATATAGCTTCATAGGCATGATCACAGGTCTTCTTAGTTCCTCCAAAATCCGTTTGAGCCATATCATCTCACAGATCCCTTGTGCCATTGATATGTATTCTGCTTCTACACTGCTTCGGGCCACTACGTTTTGCTTCTTGCTCCTCCATGTTACAAGTTTCCCCATACAAACGTGCAGTAGCCAGATGTGGACCATCTATCTGAAGTAGACCCCGCCCAATCTGCATCTGTATAAGCTTCAATACTTCATTGTTCATTCTTCTCAAAAAACAGTCATTTTCCCAGTGAACTCTTTAAGTACCTTAGAATGCGGTAGGCTGCTTCTAGATGTTCTTCATGAGGGGAGTGCATGAACTGACTCACTAGGCTGACAGCGAATGCTATGTCTGGTCGTGTATGTGATAAGTAAATTAGCTTCCCAACTAGTCTTTGGTACTGGGCCGTATCCACTGGTCTACCCTCTTTGTTTCCGAACTTCTGATTTGGATCAATTGGTGTTTCTGCAGGGTGACATCCACTCATCCCAGTATCTTCAAGAAGATCAAGCACATACTTCCTTTGTGAAACTGCAATCCCCTTTCTTGACCTGGCCACTTCCATACCAAGGAAGTATTTTAGTGAACCTAGGTCCTTAATCTCAAATTCAGAAGCTAGACTCTGCTTTAGGCGATTCATCTCAGCAGTATCATCCCAGTAAGAATGATGTCATCAACATATACTAAAAGAACAGCTACTTTCCCGTTGGAGTGTCTTGTGAACATCGTGTGATCTGCTTGCCCTGGTCATATCCCTGTCTCTTCACAAATTGAGTAAATCTCTCGAACCATGCTCTTGAAGATTGCTTTAGACCATATAGAGACTTTTTCCGTCTGCATACCCGTTTTCCATATTTTTCCTCAAACCCTGGAGGTGGGTCCATGTAGACTTCTTCATCCAGATCGCCATTAAGGAAAGCATTCTTCACATCAAGTTGTTGTAGTGGCCAATCTAAGTTAGCTGCAAGTGTTAAGAGTACCCTGATAGTATTGAGCTTTGCCACTGGTGCAAAGGTTTCAAGGCAGTCAATCCCATATGTTTGAGTAAACCCTTTGGCTACTAGACGAGCCTTATATATCTCCAGAGATCCATCTGATCTGTATTTCGTTGTGAACACCCATTTGCAGCCAACAGTCTTCTTTTCCTTCGGCAGTTCTGTCACTTCCCAAGTTCCATTCTTTTCAAGGGCCTTCATTTCCTCGAGAACAGCTTCCTTCCATTCAGGAACCAAGTTTTCCTCTTCCATCTATGGCCAGCTTCACCGATTGTGCCCATTCTAGGTAGTTTTTCCCGTTCAGTTTGTGGAGAGTCAATTGGAATGAAAATTGAGAAGAATCTCCTCCTTGCGCCATGGTGGTTCGATCTAGTTCACCACGATTAGGACCTTCTGCCCTAGAGGATGCCAAGGATCTGCCTTCTTCAGTAATGGCCGTTTCAGCCATGAATCAAGAAGGTTCAGCTCTGATACCATGTAGGTTTTTAGGACAGAAAAGAAAGTATATTTCATTGATTAATTCTTGTACAATGATTACAGTATTTGTAGGAAAACTACCCTATAGGAACGGGAAAGTATATCCCACGGAAAAAGGAAACTAAATCCCTAGAATGAATGAGATCCTTATCTCAAGAAATCTCTTTAAAATTTGAAAAGATAAACTACTTTTCCAATTTATCTCTAAGCCCCCTTTAACCGGATTGGTACACATCCGGTCCATAACTTCAGCCTACTTTCCTGATCTCTACACTCAGTTCAGGATTCAAATTCAAGTTTGGGAGAGAAAAGTGCAAGAACAATTCAAATCATTAACAACAGTTCCAGGACAACATAAATGGTTGATTTTAGAATTCACCTTCCCCCTAAATTCTAACAATCTGAATTGTTGTCAACAGTCTAATAGTTCTAAATTCTACTTTTTCTCTCTCTTCAATTTCAATCTTAAAAATGTCATAATTTCTTCGTTTTAATTCCGATTGAGATGATTTTTTTTAATGCGTTCATAATGAGAGAGGAACAAATCCCCACTCATATTGCATATTTTTTAATGTCATTTATAATGAGGTTTCATAAGATTTGTTACAAAACTCTAATGACAATTTTCAACACTTTATCAAAACACAGTTTGGATTTTATTCCCAATTCAAATTACAATTTCTTTGCACATCCAAATAACAGTTCAGATCACATTTTGAATTACCATACTTCAGATTCTATGATTCTATGGTTCTAACAAAAAATAGCGAGCACTGTAAAGAAAGAATTGGGTTGTTTACAACTCCAATTGCTATTGCATAAGAATACACTTGAATGAAAAGATCAATTTATTTTCTTTCATTACATTTCCCTTTCTAAATGCATTTCGCTAAAGATAGTATTTGTTCCCACAACGTTTTCACTTAAACCTAGCATTTCACTACAAATTGGAATCAAAATAGGCCAATCGTCAAAACACATTTAAAACTCTTGAAGAAAATCAAATTATTCTCAGTCAAATAAGTTCACGTCCAAGTCTTTCAATTCCATACACCAAAAACGATGATCATAGGAAAAAAAAATCGTACCGAGATTGACTTGACTCTTGGTCTTGAGCTTCTGAGACTTCTCCACCAAAATCTTCCTCTCAGCCGCCGTGAGGGGCTCTCCTTGAAGCTTCTCCCTAATCTTCCTCCTCTTCTCCTCCAACTTCATATCTTCCTTCTCCTCCACCAGTTCCTCCACCGATTGGACCTTCCGGTTGACCGCCGGCGCGCAAACGCCGGTCCATTCCCGGTCGAGCCGGCCCGGGCCGAACGGCGAGTACTTCGGCTCGCGCAAGCCGATTGGCCTCACCGTCAGGCTGCTCTCGGTGTAACTGTACTGGAAATCAAACGGGAGGTTGGAGCTCGCCGGCTTCGATCCCGTCCGGTCGAGCGACGACGGCGGTCGGTAGCGGGGCTTCTGGCTTTTCTTCGTCTTCTGATTGTTGGCCTCGGGATTGGCGACAGAGTTAGGGTTCGGGGTTTGATGATGAGAGAGAGAGGGAGGGGGTTTGAAGGAGTAGAGGTCGTAGAGATTGGACGAGGAGAGAAAGCGGCGCGTGAGGGCGAGTAAGAGTGGAAATCGGTTTAGGCGGGAGCGCTTGGCGAGTAACATTTCAAGGGGGTTTAAAGAGAAGAGCTGCTGCTCTGTGTGGAACTCTTTTTTTTTTTTTTTTTTGAGTTTTGGGAGCGAAGAACGAGAGAGAAACGGAGGTCGGTTATTTTGCTTTAGGGCAAGGGCAAAGGAAAGGAGACCCTTACCTGTATCAGTCTTGATTATTGAATTTTTAACCCTATTTGGTATTTGTATCTAAAAAATTAGACCGTTTATTTTATCAATTTAAATTTAAATTTTAAATTTTATTAAAATAAAAAATATTAAAAAATAATTATATT